TCAGTGGTGTGCTCTTTGCTTGTTTTCTCCTCACAATGATCTAGAAAAACACTGGATTGCTTTCTTCCTTTCTTCTTCCTTCCTTCCTTCCCTCCTTCCCTTCCCTTTTTCTCTCTCTCTCTCTCTCTCTGTCTCTCTCTCTCTCTCTCTCTCTCTCTCTCTCTGTCTCTCTCTCTCTCTTTCTTTCTTTGTGTCCTGAAACTCACTCTGCAGACCAGGCTGGCCTTGAACTCAGATAGATTTGCCTTCCTTCTGCCTCCCGAGTCTGAGTGCTGGGATTAAAGGTGGGTGCCATCACCACCCAGCTTGGACTGCCTTTTCAATTCTCAGTCACTGCATGCTCAAGTGTACCTGTCATTTCTATCCCACACACACATCTGTCTGCTTAGTGCATGTGACCCCAACGCACATGCTTGTTTGCTTCTCTTCACACAGCTTGGTCTCATCCACCTGCACACCTGGAATTTTACTTAGTCTGAAGTAGCATAGACCTTGCTGAGGCCACTGCATTCTAGTGGAGGCTACATAACCTTAAGGGGACTGTATGGGGGTGCCTGCTGCACACCCGAAGTGAGCTGTGGAGGGTTTGCAGCAGGGTACGTACACAGGTGTTAAAAACAGGTTACCAAACCCTACTTCAAAATAAAGTTTGATGCTAGAAAGGATTTTTATTAATCCTGACTTTTCTTTTATTATCTGTTTTCTTGAACATGGAAAGTCTTGTTTGTTGTATAATCAAGCATTTGCTTATTTACTTCTTTTTGAGCATGCAGATGAAAGTCAATCAGGGTACCATCATCACTGATGGCAGCAATTGAGTTGACGTGGCACACGCCTGTAATTCCAGATCTTTAGAGATTGAGGGACGAGGACCAGTATAGTCCAAGGCCAGCCTCAGTTACAGAGTAAGATCAAATCCAAGACCAGTCTAGACTACATGAGGCCCTGTCCCCCAAATAGAAACAAACAAGATAGATAAAAAACTAAAACATGACAGTTACTTAGTGAATTTAAGACTTATTGGTTATAAGTTTACTCTTTGAGATACCATTTATGGAACACAAAATATCAGAATAATGTGTTAAAAATAACACTATTCTTTATCTTTTTGGCGAGGTGGTTTGAATGTGTAATACATGCCATAGGTTCATGTGACCCCACACCTGGTCTCCGGATGGTGGTGCTGTGTTTGACACCTGGAGAGCACTGAGTGGAGGAGTAGAAAACTGGGACCTGGATTTCTGCCCCCCCACCGCTGCCTCCTATTGCTGTCCATTCCTTGTATCCTGACTGGGAAGGGAATATTACCAGCTGGCCGCATTCCTGTCTCCACACCTTCTCCACCACCGTGGTCAGTCTGTGTATCTCCATGATGTTATACCAAAATAAACCGAGTTGGTCACAACAACAAGGAAAATTAGCTAATTTAGTGATTGCAGTAGCCATCTGATATATAAATTTCTCTTCATCAAATCTAGTGATTAATACTTTTCCTTTTGAGACAGAGTCCCAATATGCAGTCTTACTAAACCTGTTGTAATGTTTTTTTTTTTTAATTTTCTTCTCTTTTGTTACTATAAAACACTGAAATTCAGATTCATATACTTGGCAATTAACTCAAAGGGCTACTACAGGGGCCTGGAGAGATGGTTCAAAGATAATGCTCTTGCAGAGTGCAGTTCCCAGCCTAGCCCTGATGCCTTCTTCTGGCCTCGATGGGCACTGTAGCCATGGGCACACACCCTCACACAGGCACACTTGTTCACACACACTCACACAGGCACACTTGTGCACACACACTCGCACAGGCACACACCCTCACACAGGCACACTTGTGCACACACACTCGCACAGGCACACACCCTCACACAAGCACACTTGTGCACACACACTCGCACAGGCACACACCCTCACACAGGCACACTTGTGCACACACACTCGCACAGGCACACACCCTCACACAGGCATACTTGTGCACACACCCTCACACAGGCACACTTGCATGTGCATAAAGTTACATAAATGAAGAACAACCTCATCCTTCCCCCCTTTCCTACTTACCTACTGTTCTATTTATAAATAGCCTTTCCTGTTTGTCGCAAACCTGAGCGTCACTGTTTGTTTGCAGAGATAAGCAAATGTGCATACTGATTTAACCCCATCCTTATACACAATGTAATAAATATGCTATTGTGTAGCATATCCTTATGTTGTGAGCTAAAATTGTATTATGACTGTCACTTGATAATGCTATCTCCCTCATTTTTTATACCAAAACAATATTACCTTGGGTGACAATACACTTTTTCCTTTGATAAATAACCTTTGTTTGCGGGCTTCTTCTCATTTTTGCCTTTGCAGTCTAGAATGGGAGAGCAATTTAATGTCCTTTCTTTGTGAGCGAGTTGAATTTTGGTCTGTGTACTGAAACATTTTAAGGGTACTGTAGGCTTTAATTTTTTTGAGCCAAAATGGACACTGAGGCCAATAGAGAGAACATAAAATGTTCTTGGCAGAATCAGGACTCGCTCATGAAGGGGACTCAGAGTGGAGGAGGGGTGTGAGGAGCAGCAACGAAGAGATTTGATCGTGTAGGCCCATCGTGGTTGAGATTTTGGCATCTAGAAGGGGAGGGGAGCATGCTGAGAAGTGTTGACCATGTAGACCCATCCTGGTTGAGATCTTGCCATCTAGATGGGAGGGGTGTGTCCTGAGAGGTGTTTACCATCCTGATTGAGATCTTGGCATCTAGACGGGAGGGTGCATGCTGAGAAGTGTTGCTGTACTATGGCTCTCCCTAACATTTAGAGGCGATAGGTCCTGAGACGCTGATGGCTAGGGAAAGAGAGAACTGCGCCATCAACTACAGACTAAATCCTTTCCTGAATACAGGCAGGGCTGCCGTGCCCTGTTTGAAGGCTCCATTTCATAGCATGGCGTACACCATACTATCCTGGGAAATGCGTTGCCTAGCCTAGTGGACACCGTGGTTTCTCCTTAGACAGTGTCTTCCCCTGCACAATCTGGGTTTGAAGTCATTCATGGATCTTTGGACCTGGAGAATTTCTCATGACCAGGGAAGTCACCGTACCATCGTCACCAGCAATACTAAGAATGAGAAACGGTCCTGCAGACATGTGGGTGCCTAGGAATTAAAATGAATCATCCTAGCTTGGGGGTTTAGATACAGAAAGACCATCCCATAGACCACAGGCACAAAACTTCATCTGGGAAACCCACGGGTAAGCTCATGGTGGCAACTAATCGCAGCTGGTTATTTCTAAGTGGACCAACTTTTGTTAAAAACACATCAGTGGCAGAGTTGATGGAGTCAGGATAACGTGAGGTTAGACATAAACAGTCTGGGCCAAGCCTAGGTTCTGCAGGACCTTTCTGTGATAAAGAAGCAACACCCCCTCACACACCCTGGAGAAATATACAATGAAGCATTCAGATGTGACAAGGTAACAATTGAAGAATTTGCATTCAAACTTTTTATATTTATTATATACAAAATAACTTTAATCATACTTCTAATCTTTTTCAAGGTCCATAATTGTTTTAAAATTAAATGGAAAGAGAGAGAGAGAGAGAGAGAGAGAGAGAGAGAGAGAGAGAGAGAGAGAATAGTAGTAAAATTAGTCCAGGAGGTTTCAGACATTTACTGTCTTAGCTGCCCTTCTAGAATGCTCAACACACCAGATGTAATCAAATGTTTTTACTTGTTCATCTGAAACGGATAAAGCAGTCACATTGATTTGACCATCAATACAACATCCTAGCACTTACATTTTTATGACTCCCCATGTTTTCGATAAAATAAATACTGGCCAGGATTTAACAGCAGCCTACTGTAAGCCAGCTCTCATTTCTTCCCCACTTTGTGTGTGTCAGAACAGGAGCTTGGGTCTTCAGAGAAGCTTGGGAGAGTTTTGGGGGAAAGCTCAGTTCCCCCGCGAAACTGGGATGAGCTAGCATACTGTCTGCTAATTGTCTGGTAAAAGAAAAACACTGGAAACATCAAGATGTGATTATTGTCTTCGGCTCACCTGCTGGGAAGCACCTTGGAGCCACTCATCCAGGGGCCACTGTCTGTTGTTGATGCCCGGGAGAGCTCCCCCGAAGAATGCAAAGCACATAATTACCAGCCTTTAGTACAAACCCTTTTGGAGAAATTCTCAGCTAAGCCCACTCTTTAGAGTAAATAGCAAGGGGGCTTGTAATTACACGAGCCGCTCTGTAGACGCGAACTGACACAGATAATGCCGGATAATTAGTAGATAATTTTCTAGGTACTCCTGGCCCTGAGCACTCAACGCGCAGTGAAGACAGCCAAAGCTCTGTGGCCAGCCCGTGGACAGTGCTAATTGGGAAGAGGGACGAGGTCTGCACTCTGAAGTGGAAACAGGCATTGTCCAGTTGTCGGTGGACCCATAAGACCCAGGGCTAGATAGCATGGTAATTGAAAGGCAGCGTGCCACGGCAGCTGCGGACTGCAAAGATATTCAGCCTTTCATCAAGGGTTGGGAACTGCTGGAGCCTGGCAGGGAAGACCTGGTGTAGTTTCTTAGCAATCACATGTGCTTTTTTTTCTAGTTATTTTTTTCTATCTCATTTCATAGACTGAACTGTTAATTTGGAGAGTCATGTCTATGTCTAAAACAACGTGGTTGGAGATGGTATCATCTCTTCAGGAGTTAATATGGGATGCGACGGTGTCCTCAAGTCACAAGTGAGAAATCTTAACTGCATCTGTGATTTCTAGCAGGGCCTTAAGAGAAAGGCAGGTTCAGAGTGGAAAAGCAAAATAAAAACAAAACAAAAGTCAACTCAACTCAAGAAAATCTGGGGAGAAAGCCTGGGGCTTCACGGGTAAAATGTCCTAGAAGAGGCCCGTGACCCTTGGAGAGAGAGTACAAAGTTCCATCATGTGACTGTTAGCTGAGGACGCGTGCTTCCCCCCCACCACCGCCCCCCCATAAGCCCGGGCTTCCTGAAAGACCACACGTGTGTAATTTGCTTCCGTATTCCTCAGTTTCCTCATCCGTACAAACAATAAAATCCACATCTCCAGAAGATCACAGAAGACTGCGCAAACCACAGAAGCCACGAAGGAGGGGCTAAGCGCTGACTGACGCCCCGGGGCGAGATGGAATTAAAGCTCCAGATAGGGATCTACTGTCAGAGGTGAGCGGGAGGCTGCAGAGAGGAGTGAGGGGCGTTAAAGACTGTGAACTCCTTGCCCCCCCCCACCAGCTTCAGCTCTATGTTCTCACTGTGTCGCGTTCCTGCTGTCCTTCCTCTCCAGGTCCCCGGAACTGGCAGGCTGTCTTCAGTATTGTGGTCTCCATCTCTTCCTGTTCCCCACGTTCTTGGCGACAGCCCTGCGTGGCTGCACCCTTTCCAACAGTTTTTAAAACTGGTCTAGTCACAAAAATCTCTCAATGGTCACAGAATTCTTGAAATAATGTGTGTTAAATTTGGTTTGTGCTTACATTTAACTACTACAGATAATTTGGCCACGGAAGAGTTTGGGAATTGAGAACACACTGTCCCATGTGTGTGAGGGCACTGACTTTGAGTCTTAGAGACAGTAGGAGAGAGGGCATTCTTCAGACAGCTGACCTCAGGAGCCAACTCCAGAGGGAAGGTAGGACAAGCCCAGGTCCCCTTTCATCCCGTCATTCACAGAGAAGCAGGGGGGAAGAAGCATCTTCTGGTGTCTGGCGATTTCCTGCTGCATCACCAGGCAAAAGCTGGCCTTCGACACTTCTAGCCTACCCGATGCTATAGCTTAGCCCAACGTGCCTTGAGTTCCCTTCCGCTGGGCACAATCATCAAACCCAAGGCAGACTTTCCTAGTGAAATGTGGGCAGTTTTACTTACAAGACACCTGTCCCCACGCACGGCAGGACAGTTCTGTGGCTACGGTCCAGCATCACAGGAAAGGGTGGCACTGGGTACAACTTACCTCAGAAAATGTACAAATCCAGATGCTACTGAGTGGGTGTGAGTTAATACTGACTGTCAACTTGACAGACCCTAGACCGACCAGGAGGCAAGCCCTTGGGCATGTTTGTGAGGCAGTTTCTAGACTCTGCTAATTGAAGTGAGAAGGACCCTGACTGTGGTAGGTGTCTTCCACAGGCTGATGTCCTGGGACAAGTATGGAGACAGTTACCTGAGCACAACCGGCAGCAGCTCTTCGCGGTGCTGACCCAACGTGACCAACTTGTCATGGTCTTCCCACCAGGGCTTCCCTGAAACAGAGGGCCCTGCTCTCCATCTGCCTGCAGCCCAAAACACACCCTTCCTCTTTGGAATTGTTCTTTCCAGGTCTCTTGTCATGGCAGTGAGGGAGTAACTGATATCGTAGGTGTAGCTTCTCACCTTCAGACAGTAAACACACTGTCCGTCCGCTGGGGGTGCTGCTAAGTGAGATGACTGCTGGGGCCACTTTCACAGGCCGCATCTGAGCGGAAGCTGCAGTGGGTACAGCCCCTGCTCCTGTCCACTCTCCTTGGCTGTTTGTCCCCTCACACATCAGGCGTGCAAGCAGGTTCCAGAAAGGCATTCTTTGGACTCAACTGTGAGCGAAGTCCAGAAAACTCAAGAAACATGACATGTTTTAAGATGTCTGCGTGCACGATGCTCGCTGTAATATATGCATGTGTAATATATGCACGTGTAATATATGCACGTGTAATATATGCATGTGTAATATATACATGTGTAATATATGCATGCACCCAAGCTCTCATTATGGTATGCCTGCATGCTCGTCTCTGGCTTTAATATATCAGCACTTTCACCTCCCATTTTCATTTACCTTTATGCATCTAACAAGTTAGTATATTATGGATGGTGGGACCATGTGGCAGATGCAGGGAGGACATTTTCCTGCCTGTGACTGTCACATTCACAGTTCTCTGTCTTAGTAACAGGATACTCCTGCAACATCCCTGGACCAGGGTCTGCAGGGGAAGTATATTAACTAGAATAACATTCTAGAAATTCTTCACTCAGATATTGTTGCCACCTCTTTAAAGGACACACAGGTGTGATATAACTAAAAGTCAGAACTTCTGAGCACTGGACGCTGACCAGGTACACCACAGCATCTGCCTTCTGCGCCCACCATCCTAGCTCACTCCGTCTTCGCGTCCCATTTTCTCCTACACAATCCGAAATCTACCCTTTTCTCACAAACTTTAGTCACACATTTTCTTCTGTGTCCCCTGTCCTCCTGCCTTCTTTTCTGTCCCCCTTCTTGTAGTTTATTGGCTTCAATGCCAGGGTCCAGATACACTGCCTGAGATTTCAACATGGGAAGAACGAGATGTGGAAGACTGAACTACTCAGGAGCTGAGGATTCTAAAAAGACCGTGTCCTCCTAGTTATCAGTTATTTTTATACCAAAATTACATTCAGTTGCAAGTATTCATGTTGTCAGAAAGAATAAGACCCAAGTACTTGCTGTTTAGTGGAAATCCTATCATGTATTCCTTCAGAAAACTTGTGAAAACTCCCTCATCACTCAACAAGACACACAAGACCTATTCCATTTGTGGGGATGTGAGAAGGGTTTCCCACAGTCTCTGCACAACTCATCATTGGTGGCTGTGCCTTCTGGGTACCCTTCCTGTATGCACTTTACTTCACTGTGGGCGCTAGGACCTTGGCTCATATGTTCAAACCGTGCCTTCACCCCATCCTCCAGGCCTTCCCTCTCATACTTCATATTATTCGGCAGTTGCGTTGTTTTATCTTCAAGCAATCACCTACAATGCTCAAGCAGGGCTTCCTGCACCTGTGTCCTTTCTGTTCATTCTCTCCATTGGAGCCTAGAAAGTGTCGTCCAGTCACTAGAGCTTCACAGGACCCACTGTCTGACACCTTGATGATTTCCTATTGTACTTGAAAACCCATCAAAATCCCCTTGTCATCCTTGAGCCCCTATGTAGGCCAGTCCAGCTCCCGGGCTCTTCATCCCATGAATTCCAATGGTGTCTGTGACCTGACGGCATCATTATTCAGGTTAATTCCTTTCATCTAGAGAAAGAAATACTCTGAGCCCCCAGTTTCCAGCATCATTTTATTTCAAGGAGGTTTTGGATTCCCAATTAAGCATTATGTTGACATGAATTGTCAGAAGTTGTTCTAGGGCCCTGCATAGTCCCTTCCTGGGACTCTTCACAGTCGGTAATTAATTATAGGCTTAATTATGTGGTTACATGATAGACAAGTCCCCACATCCACATCCATTTCTCAGCAACTGCTCAGCAGAGAGGGAGAGTAGACTCTCATTAACGTATTTTTCTGCCACACTGTCAGCAGTTTATTTTCTTAGCGACTTCCCTGACTGCCCCTCAGTCCTGGAAGCCATTTAGAGTTCCTCCTGTCACAGGATTCCAGAGTCCAGTGCCCTGTCTCTCCTTGACCTTCACAGAGATGCAGAAGACCGGACCTCAGGGTAGATCCGTCTGTCCAAAGGCAAAGCTCTACCTGTCCAGCTCCCATCTGCACAGACAGACTCTTGTCTTCTCTTCAAGCTGGTCTTACGGTTATCCTCTCAGCAGGGCTTCACAAAGATCTGTGGCCGTGTACTCAGCTCTGTTCTGTAGTATGCTGGAGATGAAGACAGGAGGAGCTGCATGGCAACTCCATTGGCCCAACAGTTGCGCAGGTGACAAGAATGGCTATCTTGTTATCAGATGATTCCCAAACTGTCTCTGAGATTAAATGTGGGGTGAAGAAATGACTCATTCCTCCCCAAAAGGAGAATCAGTTCTATCTCCAACCATTCTATCTTTCCTCTTCCTTTCTTCTTCTTTCTTTCCCCACCCCCACTGCCCCCCTTCTCCCTTCTCCTTTGAATGTGGGAGAACCACTCCTTCGATATACACACTGCAGAGATGAAGTGTTCGTTGTCTTTTCATGCCGGAGAGCTACTAGAGACTATTAGCTCAGGTGTGAGCTCTCGCTCAAGGTTTCCATGTTATTCCTGCCATCCTTAAATATTTATTAACTACCAGCAACTGTTGTGCCTCCCCCAAAGAATCTAATGCTGCCAGCGTCCCTTTGCTGTGGGGCCTGGATTCTAGAAGCAGAGCTGACAAGCAGCAGGAGCAAGGCAGCTAACAAGCGCACAAACAAGCAGAAGTGTGTCCTGGAGCAGAACCAGTGATCGCCAGGCTTGGATGGAAGGGAAGCCGCTTCAGGGAAGGAGCTAGTCTGAGGCTGGTGGTGGAGGGCAAACATTCTCCAGATCCAAAGGTGCCATTTCCAGCCCCGAGCCCTGACCTCCACCTCTTCCCTGAAATGAACTGAGTTGGCTCTTCGTGGAGCTTGTTCTCTCACAGGGTTCCAGTTCACACCCAGACTAGAAGCTGGGCGCTGATGCAACACAGACGTGGTTGGAAGAACTGGGCCACTGCACGCAACCCCAAAGTGGAGTACGGGGCCCAGGAACCAGTCCTGCCCAGATGCTCACTCTCAAGTCTGCTCAGGACACTCACTTCGAAATCAGAAAAAGACAGACACAAAAGGAAACCATTGAGCAAGGTTCCTGAGCTCCCAGGTCTTAGGCTGTTCTTTTAACTCCACTGTTTATTTTGTAGTTGATAGAGCACAGGGGTGGGGTGAATCAAATCGGAAGGCTTTAAAGATGCTTCAACAACACAATGAAGACGTACTGCAGTAATGTCTTCCTTTTGTTTTTCCTCTGAAAGTTGGACCCAGATCTGACTGTCTAGGGTGTTATTTGTAGTTACTTACATGCCTTAATGTTTAAAATGACCAGAAGCTACACATGCCACCTTACTAATAACACCTTAGAGTCAGGCCCTGTGAACCACTCTTTCTTAAGTCTCTGATTGTTACTGCAGGTGCAGTCCCATGTCTAGTCTGTTCATCAGGATGTCCCAGGACTGCTTCATGCCTAGTGAAGTATAAACCTGTACCATGGGTTACTCAGGACATTAACAAATGTCCATGGCCCTGAAAAGACAAGCCACATTCTTGGCTGATGCCTCCCAGCATCCTGGAGTTCGGTGTTCCTCCTGGTACCTAGGCTTTAATTCTTCAGTTCGACAGCGTCATTCCGGGTCAGTGATTGGGAGACCACGTTCCAGACGCCCAGCTCCTGAGGCACCAGAGACCAGTGCCAAAGTTTTCCCAACACTGAGGCCCGTCAGCCTCTGCGTGGAACTCCACAGGTCTCCTACTGCACAAGTGGAGCTCGCTCTCCTTTCTTTGCACACAGTCTTCGCCACCTGTTACATTTGTGCTTTTTCATTCTTTCAAGAGATAGATTCTGAGTAGTCATCAGGTTCAGACAGACAGACTGGACCCATCTCCTGATCTCAGTGGCTAAACAAAATGAGACAGAAGACAAGCCCACGAGGGCCATCCGGGCAAATCATCCTTTCCTCTCCCCTACAATGGGCGATTTTAAAACGTGCCTCCTTTTGAATCTTATCACTCTCCAGTGTCCACTCCAGCCCAAAACTGGCTTGAACTGGGATTACACAAGATTTGAGAGCCGTCCTGCAACCTTCTGACCTGTCTGCTGCTCCAGAGCTGTGATGAACCCATACAGGGCCACCCTGAGTTCTCTCCTGCTCCCATCTGGCTGCAACCTGATTCTGTTTCTTTAGAGAAAGTGAAAATAATAATAATAATAATAAAAAAACCTGTTGAGGTCAATGTTTGAGATTTAAGCTCTCAGATGTTTTTGTTAATTCAATTATCTTTCTATTAGTCAAAAGTAAATGTGCATGTGTGTGTGTGGGGGGGGTGATGACCTAAATGGTAGGCATTACGTTTTGACAAATATTCAAGGCTTTTAGTGTTTTCTAAAAGAGACAATGAGGGAGAAAGATAGTGAGAACAAGCACTCTTTACTGGCTAAGAGGAGATTAAAAATTAAATGTGTGTTTTCAGCAGGTTCTTTGCCAAGGGGCAAGATTTGCTTTTAGAAAGGATTTCAGGTAAACAACAAAGGTGCGGTGTTACCCATCCGCACAGATGTCTGTCTGTCCCCACAGCCTTCCCCCACACCTCTCTGAGTGCCTCAGCCAGGCTGTGACAGCTGCTGAGTGACGGCTTGTTTCGCCAACCCGTCACAGTAATCCAGTCGTTTGCTATTTAAGACAAAGTGTTCGTTTGAAAACATCAGATGTGTTTCATCACACACACCCTTGTCAGAGGTGACCCTGCCAACATAGGGGCTTTGTTCATCTCAATAAATCCGACGGGTAAGTATTGGGGGCGGGCGGTGGGGACATGCTGAAGGGTTTAAGGAACATGGGCTTGCAGCCTGCAGCAGCAAGGGAAAGAGAACACAGGGACTCCGGGCATTCCCCGGAGGTGCTAATGACTCAATGCCGGCCTGGAATGCTTTGAGTTCATGCAGAGGAGAGGATCCCTCTGCCTAATAAAGTGGGTAACATTTTCTCCAGGTGAGCCCTTGTAGATCAAGGCATGAAGCGGACGTCTTAGAGCCTACACGTTTGAAGTAAACTTTGAAAGCGTCCTACCAGAACCTGTTGCTGAAGGGGACAGGAGTCAGAATACACGGTGTCACAACACAGTGTGAGTGGTAATGAAAAGCAGCCAGAGGCCACTGGGGTCAACACTGGGCCTCCTCTCCTTTCCCTTCGTGCATGTGCACTGCTGCGTCTGCATCACAAAGGTATTTCAGTAGCAGGAACCCAACCCACCAACACCCAACACGTTTATTTCTTGTGATGGAGGCCTGGCTACCTTCTTGCATCCCTTTCTTTGGTGAGATATGAAGGCAACATAGAACCTTCTTAGATCAGGGTGGTTAAGAAGGAAGCACAGCTGGGCGGTGGTGGTGCATACCTTTAATCCCAGCACTCGGGAGGCAGAGGCAGCTGAATCTCTGGGAGTTTGAGGCCACCCTGGTCTACAAGAGCTAGTTCCAGGACAGGCTCCAAAGCTACAGAGAAACCCTGTCTCAAAAAACAAAACAAAACAAACAAACAAACCAAAGCAAAAAGAAGGAAGCAAACCTCTCTGCTACACAGCTATGGCATTAAGCTGGGATACCCGAGGGGGTTCTGACTCAGAGTACACCTTGGTGAGCCGGTGGCCTCCTCTTCCATCTGCTGACACAGCACATCTTCTGCACCTAGGTGTGGATATTCTGACTCATCCCTAGCTCCAGACAGCCAAAACCCAAAGGTGCCAGGTGTCTGCTGTAACAGAACACCTGGCAGGCTCCACTTCATGCAGGATTGATTTGCTACAGCTTGTGGCTGCAGATGTTCATGGGTGACACACAGCAGACCTCACAGTGCCACGAGTATGTGATCGAGACTCCGCATAGCTGATGGAGCAGAGAGCAGAGACCTTAGGCCGGAAGCAGAGCCAGTCAGGAGCCCTGCCCTTCATTTACAGGTAGACAAGATACCTTAAAAGCTTTACCACCTTCCCAAACAAAGCCATGAGCTAACAAATGAGACTTGGGGTCGTTTTATTCAAGCCCTCACAGCTGGGATGGGCAGGTGATTTTGCGCATTGCTGACTGGGTCTGGGAACACATGTATAAGAGGAGCTGTCAACAAAGACTTGCTTGTCCCTGTGGAAAAAGCACATTCACGTGTTGTTTTCCCGAAAATGAACACATGAGTCCTTTCCTGTAGGAAAACCTTACCCCGCATCTCTGCCCTCTTTGTTCTGTTTCTCAAGTTTGTCAATAATAAAATCACTGTTTCCCTTTGAAGAAAGCAGGGAAGCAGTAAAGGACACCAGGAGCTTGAAGACCTGCCCTTAGTAAGGAGGCTTGTTTCTCGGCGCTGGGGGGCGGGGTTCTCAGGATAACCCAGGCAACCTCTCCTAATACTGTTGCAGGTGTGAAACTTCAAGAAACTGGGGCAGGAAGCAGAGAGATTAGGCATTAATGAAGGTGCCTTTTTAAATGTTCCATTGCCTGTAAGGCCCTGCAGTGCTTCTTCCAAGAGCACCAAATCACCAGCAAAATGTAAATGTTTTCTTTGTCAGTTTGTTTTCCCAGGTGAAGACTCTTCCTGTCTGTGACAGCTCCTTCTGAGCAGGACTCCCTAGTTTGCAAGAAAATCAGAGGGATCAAGTTCTTCTAGGAAAAGAAGAAGGAAAAAAAACAAAACAAAACAAAACAAAAAAACCTGTCCAGTTTCAACTCTGAAATCACCTTGTCAGAGTCTGGGACTGGGAATAAGACTTATTTTGGTATAGGTCACTCTAATCTATGTTAGAAGGAGTGGGCTAGGGCCTCCAGCTCTCTCCAGCACAGACAAGGAACGCACGCATCCAGAATGTTCTGTTACCTTTAGCCTGTACTTTCTCAGGGGAAGGTTAACAAAGACCCCTGTGGAGGGATAGCTCGTGGTTTGTGTCTCCTGGGTGCGTCGTCCTTGTGACAACAGTGTCCTTTCTGTGAAGCCACAATGACTCCTTCCCATCCCATTCTACCCTAAAGTAGTTTTCTTTGTAGCTTTTCAAAGATGGGTCACAGTTAGCTTGAGCTGGGCTTTCTAACCTAGGAAAATGGCAAAGGGATTTCATGGGTGGTAGTCGATCACTGCCTGTTGTAGGCACATCAGCAATGTAGCATAAATGTTCTGCAGTCCAGGGCAGATCCAGTCCTGGGATTATGTAAAGCATTGCGGTCACTATTTGGAGTCTGTGCTGACCTCATGGACCTGTAACTTCAGCCTGGGTGATGACATGCGCTCAGGAGAGACAAGTCAGACTCCTCACTCATCAGGAAGCCTGGCCGCCTTGCCCTGCTGCCCTGGGCCTCCTCATGCCCACGGACACAGAGGTATCCTTTAGTTAGACATCAACAGCCTCAGGCCAGCCCATGTATCCATGCATCCGGGGCTCTGACCTCCTGACTTGACCTCTGAAGTTGTCTTAGTTTCTCTGACCTCTAGAATTCCAGCCCTGGGTGGAGTCAGGAGAATGTGCTCTGTCTGTTGTGTGCAGGAGAACGCTGCACAGAAATCTTCGCTGAAAAGAAACTTTTCGAATAAAAGGAAGAGAAACAGGGATGCAAGTCAATGAACACTTTTAATTTAGAAGATAGTAAGAGGGCAAATGATGAGTTTTGCTCCGGGCTTCAATTTCCACTTGCATTGTTTTCTGTAGATGTTGATAGTGCCTGTCGTGGGGTTGAATATATAGGAATTGTGATAATCTGGGGAGCTAGCTTTAGCATTTGGAAAGCAGAGTTCTTGAGCTATTCAATAAGCTTTGCTGACAGGCTATAAGCCAACTTCTACCTCTCATAGCACAGGGGAATTCACATCATTGCCTGCAATATCCAGGAACAACTCAAAGTTAAATAAAGGCTGGAAGTCTCCCTAAAATAACACCGCACACTGAGAACCGGCCATGACCTGAGGACCTACACACGGTGGGGTATGCAAAGCTGGATGGTGCCTTTGCTCACCGGAGAGATGTGCAGGATCCTGACAGCTGCCCTGTGAGGATGAAGTGGGGACCAGCAAGGCGGGGCCAAGGGGGTGGGGAGGGTAGTGGGAAACCAATTGAACATATTACAGTGACATTATAATGTGCAAAACTTCCACAGTGAAATCTTTTACTTTCTGTGTGAACTTACAAATTTAACAAAGTGTAAAAAATGAACAGAGAAGTGTATTGTTGCTCCTGAAGTGCCATGTGATTCATGCCTAGCAACTAAAGAATGGGGTTCAATCTCGGCTTCCTTGGTAGAGCTGTGATAGCTAGGGGTTCTGCCCTCAGCCCTCGTTTCCTCTAGAAGCCGCCTTCTGGCCACCCTTGCACTGCAGAGCTGTGCTCTGCTCACATCTACCACACAACAGCAGTGGGTGGCCTTACTGGTTGTCCACAGACTGCTTTGAAAGTTTTAGAACTTGTATGCAAGTTCCCTAAGGAGCTTGCAAGGCTCCCAGGACATTCTATCCAGCCCCTGGACTTTGTGCGGTAGGCTGAGGTGTTGAGGTGGTCAGAGCTACTCTCTGCACCCAGCAGTGGGCAGTCTGTGGTAGACATAGACCGCCAGAGTCGAGGTCGGGCTGTGAATGCGGGAAGAATAACAAACAGGGGTCGTCAGGAACCAGGCGGGGCCAGCAGGGCACCAATCTTTTTGGCTATTTTTCCTGGGTTTCTGCTGCACTGCGACGGTTGCTCTCACCTCCAGCAATCTCCTGTATTGTGACTCTAGACTTGGGGCTGCTTCGTGCTCCATAGAGATGCTCTCATTGTCACTGTCTCTAACCATATCACCTGAAAGATCATGTGTTCTGTTCGCATGGAAAAAATTCTTTCACCATAGAGCCGAGGTTCTTTGCGTCTCCTTCCAGCTCCTTCTCGAGGCCACACCTAATAGCACCAAATTTCTAGTCACTGGAGTTATGGACAGAAGGCATTTTCTGAGATATGGATATGCTTCTCATAGAACGGGGCTTCCCCAGCAGGTGCGGTGTTTCTTTATCATGGGAGGGAGAGCAAGAAGTCAGAAGTGTCCCAGCCTGCACCTGACCACGGAGCAGGTCTCTTCCTGCTTGTGAAATCCATCTCTCTGCATCAGAAGCTCATGTCATTTATAAAGACTTGAAGAATAAAGCCACCTCTGCCAATTCAGGCCAGACCAACATAATGATAACTGTGCAACAGAGCAACTTCAGGGTGATCGATAATATTTTGACTCTTCG